ATCACTATATGTTATTCTGAAATAAAATTTAACATAAAACTGAAGCAACGCTTTAAGTCAATAAGATAATAAAAAAAAGTTATGGAAGTAGTCTAGTTTTTCCTCAATTATTAGACCTTACAAGCATGGAGAAACTTAAACATCAAAACAATACGAAGTTTCGTCATAGATTTTATCGCGTAGATATTCTGAGCTAGATGTGATTAAAACACGATAACCTTAGAGAAAAAAAAACATCTCGATAATAAACGATGTTACGAGAAACAAAAAAAAAAAAGACTAGAATCACAACTTAAACGCTTGTAAGTGCCATCTGCGAATCGGAGTAGAATAATTCATGCCGGGTTTCCAACAGAAAAAGAATCTGACAAAAGCGGTTGCCTAGCACAAAGAGAAAGCGAAGCAATACGAAGTGTGGTGGTCTACAACCTACGCCATTGACTTTGAATAACTGTTGTAATAAGGTCGTGGAAAGGATCCCTTACGCAATAAGTCCAAAGGGATAATATTCTTAAGAGTTTGGTATCAGTATTAGGTATTAAAAAAACCTATTACAAATTCTAAACGTTACAGTATGGATCAATGGGGCCGAGAAGGGGGATTTATAGCGAAAATGCGCTATCATAGATTACGATCGAGAGCACAGATTTAAAGGGCTACGGATTCTTGAGGGAATCGTATTTTTCAAATTGGTGGAAACTTTTAAACCAAAGAACAAGAGAAAAACATGTAACAGACCATAGACCATACCAAGTGTAATAGTAACTAAACTATTTTTTTTAAATAATTATAATCCTATCTTCACTTGTGCCTATTGAGAAAAGGAAAGTAATTCAACGTTTTTGTAATGGATACTCCTCTTTTGGATTTTCAGAGAAATTATATTTTGAGATTTCAAGTGAACAAAAAATCAAATACTGTAATAAATAAAATATACGCCTTATCTCTACGAATTACATTAGGAATACACCGATTTCAAAAGGGAAATAACAGAAAAAATGTGCATATCAACAAAAACCTAAATACTCCTTTCATAACATGACTTTTTCTAACTTTATAAATTTATGAAGTGCTTTTAAATTTCTCGCTTTTCTCCCTTAAGTCCAAGAAAATTACTTTAAAAAATAAAGAACTTGAAGTAACTAGTAGCTAATGAGAATTACTTTTGACTGGCATGGATATAAATAGCATATAAATGTTACCATACACACTTTTTTCCTCACCCATCAGCCCATGTTTCATCACCAAAAATTACACGTTTAAAAAACTTTTTTTTTTTAAATTAACGTCAGACTTTTTTTTTCAACACCAAGTTCTGGAATTTCAATTTTTGCAAGAAAAACTGTTATTTTGTCCCCAATCCAACAGCAACACGTTTCAAGCCCAAACCGTCTTTCGAAACGTTCGTAACAGTTCCTAATGATATGTTGATGCCATCGGCGATCTCTCAGGTGGTTAATTTCCTTTTTTTTTCCAAAACACGGTTCAGATTTTTAAAACACATTCGATTCATTCATATTTGGGCTTTTAGAATGGGCAACAATGTTCAAGAATATCACTAATAACTTTAAGTGATTTTTCATAGTAGCTACATTTGATTTTGGAAATATAAAAAAAATATTGATTACATGTGTAACGAATACGAACACTGAATATCATAATATAAAAAATAATAAAAATTAATTTTAATATAGGGAATAGTTTTGCACATTATACGTTGCTTGTTATAGAAAATTCAAAATAAAATTACTGTTTTTATTATGAGGAACGATAAGTATTTAATGAAAAAAAAAATGAAGAATTTAAATGTTAGTTGTTTTAAAAAAAAAAGTAAAATAAATTATTAAAAAAATACTTTTCGTTTTGTTAAAATAGTTGAATTTTTTTGAGGTTTATTACTCGTAATATTTTCAAATATATCACATGCTCGTTATTGAAGTCTTTATTCAAAGAATAATGTCTATTTTTAATTAAAATTATTTTAAGCTATCTCAAGTACATTTTCTAAAATTTTTTTAAGCATACATAAAATATTGAAATGGAAATTTAAAATAGAAAAAAACAATTTAAACTGAAGAATATTTTGAGTAAATATTTAAGAAAACAATACTATTTAAGTGAGCAATACTATATCACATTCAGTAGCAGCATACATAGTATAATAAATATCTTCGTCAATCTTTAAATTTAATATATAAATAGTTAGTACCATTTCAATGTATACAAAATAAAGTAACCTTTTTTTATGTTTATTCATTTTTTTTCCTGTCTATTTTTTTTTTCAAACTTAGTGTCTTGAATGCATAATACGCATAAATTGAGATTTTTCTATCAACTGACATGCTAAAATGTTTCAAAATTACATATATAATTAACAATAAAAAAGTAAATAAAAGAGCATATAACATCGTAAAATTAGTATGTGCGTGCAATTGTAATAAATAATAGATCAAATCGAAATGTTATGTAAATAAATAAATTCAAATAATAACCCCCTCTCAATTTCTCTTTTTAGAATTATGAAAGTAAAGGGCGTTTTATATTCAGTATAGTAGTTTCCACAGAATATCAGAAAATTGCGCATCAATGCCAGGATTCAAGCAGATCCTCAATGAGCTTCCTTTTCCGTAATTAGAATCAAATTATCCGTAGCGATATAATGAGTAAATTCCTCAGAAAAATTTTAATTGCTGGCTGGTGCAAGAGGTAAAGCGCTGAGTAAGCGATTGGAAGTGATGACGCCACCGGGTCTATGGCAGATATATTTTTCTCTTCTTCTCAGATGACTGTTCCTCCCTCCTTCGACACCATAGTTTATGTAATATGTTGCCGACATATGGCATTGTCTGCTGATGCCGGTGTCGCAACTAAGTTACGAGCCCCCTAACCATTGGAACAGCTCTACCCGCCCCAAGATAGACTATTTGCCTTCCTTTATGGCCAAGCCACTAACCTTGTTCGAGTTATAAGCATATCATTAGTAATGAGTAATAAAAGATGGATTGCCCGGAGCCCTAGGAACAGCTTTCTTTTATTTACTGTTGCCTGAGCCTAATATGCTGCGGTAATTCTTGCAAGATGTCTCATAAGTTCTCATTTTCATGCTTATTAGTTTGTGAAAGCAGCATCTAATAAGCATCATTATTCAGAGTTTAATATTTCAATTAAAAATATGATTGACAAGGAGCAAAATATTTTTTATTTTTAATACCCTCCATCTTTACATAAATAATAGTAACATGTATAAAATTATTTTTATAGATTACATAAAGTTTTTTGTTTTTTTTTCTCTCTTCATACTTCTGTCCACACATATCATAGTATTGACAAAAAGCATATGTGATCTCATTGTAAAGAAAGTTGGCATTTAAGGCATAAGGAAGATTAGTACCCAGCAATACCTCTTCCTGGTCTTGGTCTACTTCATAATTTAGGAAAGGAGATCTCTCATCCAGCTTCTCTTTAATCATCTCTTGATAGGCATGTCAGCTGTGGCCATGTCGTTGTTAAGTCCGTTGTGATGTCCGTATAGTTTAAGATGAAATCGGGATTTAATGTTAACATCTGAAAAACTCTGCGAATTATTTACACAATGGTTTATTATTCCCTGTATAAAATATACTATATTTCCTACAATATATAAAGTCCATTACTTTTCTTTCCATTTCGTGGAAAATAAATTAAATATATTAGCTATTATTCGCCTGCATAAGATTTTCTTTTTTTAATATAGACTCAATCTCGATTTTTTCAGTTGATATAAAGCATCCCATTAAGCAAAAAATAAATCAAAGGGAGATCGGTTTTGCAGCATTACTCGTGCGAAATATTTCGAACGCTATATATTCCTTTATTTTAAAGGAAATTTTATAAACTTTTCCAGATCTAGATGATTGAGTTTCTACTATTTGACTTATTCGCAAATCTAATGTTTCGTTCCTCGTAATTTTTTGGCCAGCTTCTTCTTGAGAAAAAAAAATATGTTACATAGATAAATTTAAACGGCGTCGAGAAGGAGACTTCAGCTAAGTTTAATTAAAATCGTTACATCCGTTTAGGCACTATAGTCAATAATAGTGATGCAGGTTTTTCGGGTGCCATCTGGTATGGATGGTATTTTCGATTTTCGAGAATCATCCTCAGGTGACCTTCGAAATTGATACAAAATCTCAAAATAATCGGCAAGTAAAAAGAATCGTCTGGGAAAAACGCCGAGGTTTCACATGTTGATGAAGAATTAACTTTTTTTTTTTCTTGGAAGATTACAAAGGTTCAGAATTAAAAATAACCAAAATTTATAATTTATAAAAAAAAAAAATAATAGGTTTTAGGTCAAAGGTCACCAATAAGATACGTTTTTATTTTATTTCATTATTTTCCAACGTTTCAGATTTTAAGCCATTTTCAAGAATCTGTAAAAAAAAATTATATTTTTTAATTTTGTCACTTTTCTTTAAAAATTTTCAATTGTTAAATATTCTGTCACTATAAATCAATTGTCTTTATAAATAAAAATATTTACAGTTTTGAAAATGGCTCAAGAAGCCAAAAAGTTGACAAATAAAGATATACAAAGGACTATGGCCTAAAACCTATTAAATAATAACATCATATAATGTCACCTAACCTAAAAAAATAAAATAAAGATTCCTATTAATTTTATTGGAGATCAGTTTTATAGACACTTCATGCTCAATATTAAACGAGATTTATAAAAAAACATAAAATCTAAAAGTGCTTAAATTCTTAAAAGAAGTTAATTAAATTTACATATACCATACCATACATACCATTTTTTTTTATTAATTTCTCATTTAAGATAAGCCGAAGTAAATACAAGCTTTCGGAGTAGTCTCAGCTTCAAAATCAATATTTTATTACATACTCCAAAATTCTTCCCCCTACAACATATCTAAATACAAAATCAATGATTAATAATATTTAATTATTAATAATTGTTAACTTTATTGTTTATTTTAATTGTCATTATCTTGTTACAGGGTCGGCGGAGGCAGACAACGACTCACTAATAGGTCGTAGCTCCGGTACCTCCCCACACCAGCCCTCCCCAAGTATGCTGCTTCTGCAGACACAGGTAAAATATATTATTAATAATATAATTACAATATAAATTAAGGAACTATTTTTATGTCTGATATATATATATATACAAATATAACATGTCTTAGTAATCAATCTTAGTAATCTTAGTAATCAAAATAAATCGGTACTCTTAAAAGTCATAAGATATATAAATTAAATAAGCAAAGATTTTTAAAGCAGCTCCATAAAATAAAAAATACATCAAATAATTATAACACTGCAAATAACTTCGAAGAAGTTGTTTAAATTTGATGTTAATGTTATAGGCATTACGAAATGAAATATTAACGAAGTACGTGCCACCATTAGGGAGCTGGCAACCATTTTTCATATCGATAAGAAAATTACATATGCCAGCGAAGAAAATAAAAGTATGATGATTCTTTAAATGATAAAGCTATTTATAAACAGTATATAATTATAATTATTCATTCTGTCAAGATGCAAATATAAATGTAGCGTTATTATAGAATAAACTTTTAGCATTGCGTGGTACTTTCATTTTCAGATCTAATAAATATGAAAATTTATTACTATTGGTATTATAAATTAAGTCACTATTAAATTTCATAATTATTGTAATACTATAGTACGACAGAATCTTTTCTTAGATTTTTTCTACTGGTCTATTAATTAGTGATAGTAAAAAGATACTTTAATAAAATTTGATAACCACGAAAAATCATTTTTAAAAACTATATTTTTGGGCTGTATTAGTAATCTGACATTGCAACAAATATAGGCTAATCACCCTCTAAGTATAAAAAAATATTTTACCGAGTTGCTATTGCTTAGGGGAATCGTTTTTAAGTCTCCATCACAAACGAATTCGTATGGTAACATCTCTATGTACACGATATATAATACAGATCCCTTCATTATACAGGGTGTCTTCAGTTCTTGATGGCCAAACTCTGAGAGTTTTAGATAAAATTTTCAACAAAAAAAATTAAGGAGTTAAGACTAATTTTAAATTTTTCTTAAGGTGGTCACGTTTATATTTAATAAGAAGAAATCCCTCAAAAACTGTTCAGGATAATTAAATCCTAAGTACACCAACGTAAAGTAGACAAAATATTCTTTGAGAAACAGTGATAAGACTTTGTAAGGTCATTGATAAAAGGGATATACACACAGGGTCTCACTGGGGTATACAAGCCTTATTTTATTTTAGTTTATATTTAATCCTTCGATATTACTTTTTCATCAATGCCCTCTAAGAAAATAACTTTTTTCTATATTTTTTTTCAAGTTTTCTCGCTGTAACAGTGTTACATTCTGTAACTGCTACATTCTAAACGTTGCCAACAAAGGTTTACGAGATCCAATCCGATTTTAAATCTGGTTGAGCATTCTCGTAAATGGTTGCTAGCAAGGAGAGACCTGGGCATGTCGTATCTATCAATCTCTTGATTGAAAATCAGCGTCTCGTTTGATTGATGGCACTTCATCAATAGGCGCAGACTTCGCCCACTCCCGCCCACGGAGTTCTCGTATAACGGTCTTTGGCTCACGATGCAACCCCTCCATTTTTAGCCAATGGCTTAGTGATTTGGAGACCTGAGTTGTCGGAGTGTATATACAACTTTGTATTTGTGTATAATAATGACTAAAACTGAAAAATAACAAACCAACTTGAGATAATGACTATTATATGAACCTTTCAGTTGACAGAATGACTAACTCCAATATCAAATTTGTTTATTATTAATTTTAGTGAAAATTGTATACCCTTATTTACAGTTCAGTTTAATATTTCAACACTGCAATCACCTACTCTGGAATCAACTTACTCACTGTCTGAACAGATATTATAAATTTTCCATCTAAAAATATCACTAAAATTACTTTACTCAAAAATGTTGAAATTGGAGATAGTCATACTGTCAACTGAAAGGCTGATATAACGTTTAGCGGTTAGTTATATGCTAGTATTTGGGAGAATTAAGACTTCATTTTCATAGTCAGTTTATAACATGATACAATTTCTTTTAGTTTTAGCTCTGTTCAATTTGTTATATATAGAAAAATTCAATTATAATTTCCAGCGCGTATCCAGAGGATGGTAACTGTCCCCACCCCTTTCATTGTATAAAAAATAAATGAAATAGCAATTAATAAAAGCAACCAATTTCAGAAAAAAATATTTATAGCGAATGACTGGTAGTCAATATTTTAATCTTCTGAAAGAAAATAATTACAAAAAATCCTCTAATTTTTTCATACTCCCCCTCCTACTCTTTTTAAATCTGGTTATGTCCTTGAATAATTTCACTAGTATGGAAAGTAGAAAGAAAACCATTCATATAAGTAAATAGCAGAACTAGATACTGAAAGTTAATCGAACATTGTTATTATATCAATTTTTCCACATCAAATAAATTTCAAATATCAAAATATTTATATAAAAATTATCGATATGAACTGAATGATTAAGTGGAAAAAATAAAGCTATATTAAATACAAGGTTTAGAAATAGGAAAAATATGAAGATAGATCTTGGGAAATATCGATGTTAAATATGAATGAAGGAATTAGATACATAGGTATAAGGATGATATAGTCTACAACTTGGTTTATTTTTTAAATAATAAAATAAATCGTAAGTGATGAAAGTAATTAATAATGACAATAGTCGAGAGACCTAAACAAAAATTAGTTTTGCTTTTGAATTTTCCATTTTGGATACTTTAATTACATTTTATTTCGCATGTTACATTACATTTTATTTTATCTGGCAAATTAGTAAAAATAATAAAAATTAAAAAATGAGATTTTAATTGTTGCATTACAGCTTCGCCTACTTTAAGTACTTACTATCTTACTTTTTAATAAAATCACACTAAGTATATATATATAAATATGGTGTAATAGTTATTGTTTAAAAAAACATTTAAACGGAGTTTATTGAAATCTGTATTATTAATCCATTAGCCTCTTTATGATAAGAAAACATTTGGATCCGAATGCCCATCTTATCATAAACCCGTTTTGAGAGCGACCATTCATCAATTTCTCTCAGGCCATTATAATCGCATCTATCTTCTAAACGGAGCTCTTATAACATCGGTAGGCACAAGATTCGAATGGAATAACAGTTCCCGATGGTTCCTCCGACACCCTGAGGAGGTACTAGATTTATCTGAAACATAACAGTCTCTTTTCTAATCTTGATCAACAATTTTCGAATCATCGCCCAATTATGGTAGCCCATTGGCCAACAAGCAGTTATGCGTGTTATTTTAAGAACCCTACTCGTTACTACACGAAAATACCTTATATAAAAAACCACGTGTATGCTTAAGTATCAAAGTTGTAAGCCATTAAATGGACTGTAACTAAAGAGCTTAATAAGCAGGTTAGAGTCCCATACAAGAATATAGAATTCATACTCCAAAAATAATAAAGCAGCAGTTTTAAATACTTTAAAAAAATTAATCAAGAATGTTGTTATATCAAATTATTTATTACTGTTGTAGCAGATTGGCTAGATACATAATTAATTAAATATTTATTTTAATGTTGCCTCTTTATGATAATTAATACTTTCAGGAAGACATATAAATTGAATTATAAGAAACATTGTAGAATGTGTGCCAAAACTAATTCATTTGAAGATTTCTAAATGCGGATTATGTGGAATCCTCCGCTTTCTAAATATGTAAAATAAGCAACAACATATAATTATTTACTTTACTACAGAACTTACTACTTGTTGAAACATTTTGGATAGTTATAAAAAATATAATTTTATTTTTCATATGTATAAAATATACAACGGGTAACGAAGAGAAAGTAATTTCTTTCTTTTTATTATGAACCATAATCGAACAGAATTTTCTTAAATTTTAGACGAAATTCAAAACAACTATATTCTTTTATTTCTCTTTATTGAGAAAAAGTTTTGGTCGATTTTTCGATTTTGAAATATTTGTATATTTATATTAATAATATAAGTTATTTACAATTTTAAATATAAAATATACATTATTTCAAATCTCAAATAAAAATTTATAAAATTGAAAGTTTTTGTTCGAATTGTAGATTTATAAATTGAAATATTACTGTTTTATTATTTTCTGCCTCTGCATCGGAGCGCTAAATGTACTGTACGGCAGTCTTTCTCGACGTTGAACAGGCGTTTTATAGAGTTAGGCACCCGAGACTGCTGCTGTACAGACCCCGTAAATTCCTACCACCTACATACTTCCTCATTATCCATTCATCCCTTACTGATCGATACTTCAAAGTAAATCATAATAATACATGTTCATCCCTCTTTTCTCAGTCTGCTAGTGTTCTTCAAGGAAGCATCCTCGGTCTTAGCCTTTATACAGTTTATGTAGCTGATATCCCAACCCATCCCAACACGGTCATATCTGTGAATAATGATACTTTAATTTAATAACCTTGAAGAATGGTGTCATAACTGGAGAATAAAAATAAATTTAATATTTGAGAGAGCCCGGGAAAATTATCTCTAAGGCCCTTAGTTCCTTTTCACGGCCCTGCCACATAGCTCACCACCATCGGTTTAAGAATAGTAGGAGTATTAAATGTTACATATAATCATTGTTTAAAATTTATATAATTTTCAATAAATCAGGAAGTGAATCGCGGAGATAGTTTTCGCCCATGAAAACCCTCAGAATTGATATTCCAATCTACAGTTATAATATCTATTAAAGGAATTATTGAAATGAACCATTGAGATATCTGCATTTTTTATCTTTATAAAAAATATTCAGGAACTTGAAACGACCCAACGGTATGACAGGAATAATATTCTCATTTGTAAACAGTAGCTGAAAATCACCTAGAAGAACGAGTGGTTTTGCCAACGATGCATGAAAAATTGGACATTAAGCGTTGATAAGGATATCATTAGGGGCAATTATTGATGTGTAGAGATAGGTAAATCGCAGCCTAGCCTAGGCCTCATGTTAATATAATGACTATTAATTTTATCTCTAAGGCTTGGAGAAGTGACCG